ACAATTTCTTCTGATATACTTAAAACTTTTATGTATTTCTAATTTTCTGAACTCAAGGCTTCATTTAACCCTTTCATTGTGTAGATATTTTGAAGACTATTAAAGAGGCTTGTGCATTAAAAGTGCTAACTGATTTTAGAGGTAAAGGGGTTACCAGGAGATGCTCAAGTAGAACTAGGAATGGGACGTGAGTCAGAGCCTCTCCAGGAGAACTGCGGTAAAGAGGTCAAAGGTTAGTTGGGTTTCATTACTCTGCTTCAGGTGAGGTTTCAATTGTTGCTGACATAATCAAAAAATGGGAATGAAATTATGAGAAAAATATGGATTGGGTCCTACTCACCCTGACCCCCCCATTTCTCCTGACCTAAAAGCATTGCACTTGCTTTTTTTCTTTTACTTCTACCATGGACCACTACCATTTAAAGACACCAAGGCATAGAAAGGAAACAGAAATGTCCCTGATAAGAGGAAAACAGTAGGCAAAGAAAAGCAGACTGGAAATAATGAAGGGAGAAAATTTCTAATAGAGACTAATGAAAAATTAGCAAAATAGAGACAAGAATAAAGATAAACTAAATCATTTTAAAAAGACATTTTTCTACTCTTTTTTCAAGAGAAGGCACATTTAGATCCAATTGCTTCAACCATATATAAGTTTAGATGTTCCAAGAGGACTCCTGATCATTTTTTTAAAATTTTATTTTACAGCCTCAGAGATTGGTACTATTTTTTATTTCTCCAAGGTGCTTATAATTTTCATAAATCTTATTTGGTTGTGATGCCACATACAGTAATCTCTGCAAAAGTATTTACTTTTTCATCAAATAATTTTCTTTTAACTTGTACTTCCTCAATCTTATTTTCTCAAAACATCTCTCTAATAAGGAAATCTGTGGTCTTGTGGGTTTAAGATGAGGTCAACAAATGCAGTAGGAATGTTAGGGGTTAGGAGTAAAGGCTTTCTTTCAAATTTGAGGGTCAATGAAACCTTCTGACACTATTTAGATTAGCTTAGAAGCCTATTTGTACAATTAAGTATGTACTACGGCATGAAACACAATTTGGGATTCTTCAATCACAGCTATAAGCGCTTTATCATTTCTTCATCAGTTTTCCCTTTAGAAGCTACTCATACATTTGATCTAAACACCTTGAGTGTCTCTAAAACTGAATTACTGACTCAGAATTACCTTTCACATACTGAGGTATCAAAATATTTCAGAATGCATTACATTCATATTTGGGTAGCCAATAAAATCAGAATGAATCAAATTCACATTTTTTAAATTAAATGTTCAAATTCTTTTTACCCACAAGTCTTTGTCCAGCATTTTTTATCATTTATTCTTCATTAAATACTACGTTTAATTCAATACCTGGAGTAACTTTCCTTAAAACGAAGATATTAAAGATTGTTTTACTAAAGGTAAAAGCTATTTTGAATTTTCCTTTTTTGTATAGTTCTGTTTTTAAGTACCTCCCTGTTTAATATTATCTGTGAATTTAATTAACAGACTGTTTACTTCCCTTTGTTAACTGATGTTATATAACACCACACCTAACACCAATTCCTGTAGAATCCCTGTAAGGCCTTTCTCCACATAGACATATCATAATTGTTTTTTAAAATTGTTCTTTAGTTTTTGACTCATGGAACTTTAGTATATCTATGTCAGGAAATTCAGGGGAGGAAAAAAGAAAAAACACAGAAGTACAAATTGAGGGTGAAATTAGCAGGATAAAAGAAAATATAAAGCTGTAAATAAGACAAGGACAGAAAATCAAGGTGAGTAGGAAAAGAAAAAAGGCAATAGACAAAAGTAAAGAAGGTAGAAATATTTAACGTTTCTGGAAAAAAAAGTCATTGAAAACAGAGTGATTTGAGATTAAGAAAGTATGTAAGGAAGAGTAAAAAATCAAAGCCTAGTTCTGTCAAATAAAAGAAGTAATTCGAAAGTATCTCATCAGAAATAAAGCGAAAAGGACAACATAACTGAAAGATTGAATATAAGGCATGAGTAATATCAGCATGATTTGCAAATAGACTTTTAGTGGTTCTTTCCTAACAGTTGAGCACTTCATGTCTGAAGATCTGAGTTGATCTATTCCAGTATTTGTTTAAAGGATGGAGAGTTGGTCAAAGCAGTTGGCAAGGTTGCCTAGTAGTGGGACAGGCAGTAAGAGAGACCACAGGTTGTATCTGCAATAGAGAATTGTAGTATTATATTATAATATTGTAAACACATGTACTAGAAAACAACATAACTCAGTATCAGTAATTATTGGTCTTGAATTGTCAAATAATTTTTTAAAAAGGGGAAGGGGTAATTCTGCAAATTAGAGTCATGAACCTGATTTGTAATCTCAGGCAGCATATAAAAGTATGAGCACTTAGAGAAGAGAGAGCAGTGATAACCAAGAGCTGCTGATAACCAGACAGTCCAGCCTCCTACATTCAAAGGTTGATAGTGCTAACTGGGGTGGGAGTGTTAGAAGTCCAGATGCTAACACACAATAGGTTTTCAAACACAGGTTACACGTAAATTCGTTGCCACTGGGTGAAACAAGTACTCTGATGATCTAACTTTGAGTATCTAAGTTAAAAAAAAAGTGTCTTCAGGTGGGCCACTGTAAAACATCATTATGCTCTTTAATATGGAATTACTTCATTCGTCACATTCTTATTTCCTAACCTCCTTTCCAATAGTGCAGAACTTAGTAAGCCAATATCTACATCTCTTCTTACCCACCTACTTAATGAATGTCATTAAATTGGCTTTCTTACCCATTTTTCTTTCTTTTTTAAAAAAGACTTTGTTTATTTGTTTTTAGAGAGAGGGGAGGGGAGGGAGAAAAGAGAGAGAGGAACATCAATGTGTGAAACACGATTGGTTGCCTCTTGCACACCCCCAACCAGGGGCCTGGCCTGGAATCCAAGTGTAAGCCATGACTGGGAATGGAACAGTTGACCTCTTGGTTTGCAGAATGGCAAATAATCCACTGAGCCACACCAGTCAGGGCCTCAATTTTTTATTTCAGAACCATTTATAGGTATTATATACCTCCTTCCTGATTAGCATACTATCGTATAGTAGTTCTTAAATGTGTAAAATTTAGGCTCATTAAAACATAGATTGCTACCTGGCTGGTGTAGCTCAGTGGATTGAGCACAGGCCTGTGAACCAGAAGATCGCGGTCTGATTCCCAGTCAGGGCACATGCCTGGGTTGCAGGCCAGTTCCCTCCCTGCAGGCTATTTCCCAGCAGGGGAAGTACTAGAGGCAACCATGCATTGATGTTTCTCTCCCTCTCTCCTTCCCCTCTAAAGATAAATAAATAAAATCTTAAAAATAAACACAGAGTGTTGCAGTTTCTAATTCAGAGGGTCTAGGATGGGGCCCAAAATTTGCATTTCTAATAAGGTCCTAAGATAATGTCATTGGTCCATCCTCATTTTCTCAAGTGGTAGGAGGCCTAAAAGGTAAACATAACGAAGGAGTCCTCAGAACTACTTTTTAAACAAGTTTGTCACTGATTTGGTAAATAGGCTTATGCAGATTTCTAAAGTAAAAGAGAATTTCACGCATGCACCTTGCTACCACTTTTAGTAATCTTTTGCTTTTTTTCTTAGCCCTCTATTATAGATCCTTCCTACCCCCCATGTGCTCCTGTGTTTGTTTGATCATCCTTATTAGAGAAAATATTGATCTCAAAGATCAAGATTTAATGTATTTAATGTGGGATTCTTTCTGGGAGAATTTAAAAGATAAGAACAATATATGAATCCATAAGGGCAAATTACCTATACTGTAATTTCAAACAAAAGGAATAACTCCCCCATCTATGCATATAATCGTTTTTCTATATTCCGTATAAAAAACAAAACAAAGCCCATCTTTTTGGCTATGTTAAGGGTGAGATTTCAATTTATTATATTTGAACCAATACATAACTGACATTTGTCATGTTGAGGGGGCTCTGTGTGTATGTAACATGTGTATTGTGGTGCATGACCTACTGTCTTTTTCACGTGAGGACCAAAATACATTGATTGAGGTCCTATGTGGCACTTCTCCTCTCCACATTTAATTAGTACCTACAGATTTGCAATAGCACAGGGGTGTGTGGGTGTGAGAGAGAGGGGGAGAGAGAGAGAGAGAGAGAAAGTTGGGGGGGATGTTGTGGTCGGTGAAGAAAACAATACGTATATAGTTGTAGAAATGACTCCACAACCATTATATCAAAATTCTCAACCTTCCCCATATGGCACCCCTTTATCTGTTCGTTTTCTTAAGTTTTAGAACCTAGTGTTTCATTTTATTTCTTTTAGTTTGTAACAGTCATATAGTGATTTATATTATGCAATGAAAACAATAGTACTGCCTCAACCTTCGAAGCAACCTGCAACCCCTCATCCCCTGGGCCTGGACCATTAGGTTTCTGCTCCGCCGAGTAAGGGTGTTTTTTTCTACCGGTCAGGAAGCAGGGCACTGGCATCGAGGCATCTTCCTTTCCTTTTTTCTCGTTCCTTCCTACCACTCCTACATCCCTTTTGGGCTCTTGGGTTTTCACAGCACCCGGCGGCAGCTTGCTTAGGTACCCAGTCCTCCCCTCCTCCCCCGCCCCACCGGCCCATCAAACAAAGCCCAGTGAAACAGTCGCGCGCTGCCGGCAACGTCGAAGGGAAAGGGGGCTTGCCACGCGCTGTAACCGGACCGGGACTGGTAGCGCGGCAACTTCCCGCGCGTCCCCGCCGCTTCTTTCCCTCCTGAGTTTTCCCTTTCCTCCCTCTAGGCCCAGCGCCTCCACCGCCCCCACCCGCGCTAGGAAAGCGCTTGCGCAGAAGCGCCTTCTCCCTCCTTCCCCGCCCTTCCTTCCCTCCGCTCCTCCTCCGGCGCCCCGCCTTCCTTTCTCTCCCGCAGATTTCACTGAGAGCTGCAGGTTGAGAGCAGTTCAGTAGATATCCCCACTACCCCGCCCCCCATCCTCTTTTCTCCTCACCCCTCCCATCTCCAGTCCGGTGGAGGATGAAGCGGCCGCTGTGGCCCCGGCTCCAGCAGCGGCACCCGCGGTGGTTGCGGTGGGGGTGGCCGGAACTGGGGTGGTGAGGAGCGGTGGCGGTGGCAGCAGCGGTGGCTGAAGGAGCGGTAGCTGCCCCAGCCGCTTCCCCTGTGCTTCCCTTCCTCTTTCGTGCAGCCAGGAAGTTTTTCGCTTCTGTGCATGTGTGTGCGTGAGTGTGGGTGTATAAGGTGAAGGTTTGGACGGCATTTGTGCAGGCGTTGGGTTTTTTGCCCACTTCGCTTCCCGTAACCCGGGCAGCTCGGGAGCCTGGGCTGCGGCCCGACGAGGGGGCGCGGCGGCGGGCTCTCTCCTTTTGTTGTTGTTTCCTCCGCCTGGGGAACTGAAGTGGGGACGCGCCTGGGTGGGGCGGCTCGGAGCCCCGGCCCGGTGGCCCCTGGGGCTCCCGGGCGAGCCGGGTAAGGCAGAGTAGAGCGGGTTCAACATGATGGCGGCCGAGGCCGGCAGTGAGGAGGGCGGCCCGGTCACCGCCGGGGCAGCAGGAGGCGGCGCAGCCACGGGCTCGAGTCCCTATCCGGCAGTGTGTCGGGTGAAGATACCCGCGGCCCTGCCTGTGGCAGCTGCCTCCTATACTGGGCTGTCGGAGGGCAGAGTGACCGGGACTCTGGATGGCGGAGCCGCTTTGGGGTCGGGATTTCTGGGAGCCGGCTCTGTGGCGGGGGCACTGGGGGGAGCCGGACTGTCAGGGGGAGGTGCTGCTGCTGGCGGGGCTGCTGCTGCGGCCGTCGCGGGATCTGGCGGGGAGATGGCTCTCACCAAAGGGACCAACTCGTTACCGGCTGAGACCTTCGGGGCAGGAGGCGGATTCCCTCCTTTACCGCCACCTCCCCAACTGCCCCCTTTGGGCACGGGCCTGGGAACAGTGGACGAAGGTGATTCTCTGGATGGACCAGAATACGAGGAAGAAGAGGTGGCCATCCCGCTGACCGCTCCTCCAACAAACCAGTAAGTTAGACCTCTGTTCAGGCACTGGGGAAGCTGGCTTCTGGAAAGAAGTGGGAAAATATATATATTCATTCTGTCAGTTGTGATTTGTTCTGAAAAGTTTTGAAGCTTCAGGTCCCACGCGAAGGGATTTAATTCAACCACTTATCTTCCTTACAGGCAGACTCCTTGCCGTCTTTGTATATTTATTGCTCCTTTGGGAAGATATAAAGTTTTTAAGATGGGAAGCATGGGAAAATGTGTGTCAGGTGAGAACCGGATATGGTTCTGCCCCTTCCAAATTGAGGTGGCTTCCTGGGAATCAGCTGAGCTTGCAGCTACCTAGGTAGTTGTAGTCTGTTGTATAGTATTAACTTATTTGTGTTTCCAGTTGAAGCTCGATGGTTAGTGAAAAGCTTTGAATATAAGTGTTTAAACAAGTATTGTGCTGATATCATTTGAAATATGCCTTGGTCGGAATGTATTGTTTTTTTGCACTGCAAATCCAAACTTCAGCCTCTTGAAAGCCTAGCGATGCAAAAAAGTCTTTGGATCACTTATGAAAGAAAACGTGGGTCAGCGAGAAAGCAAAGGAGTTCTTTGACTTACATCCAATAGTGTCTGTAACTTGTGCCTTAGAATTTTTGTTTATTAATATTAGTAGTGCGATTCTTTACAGTTGAGACTTTGTAAGTAAGAATATTGAAGTAAAACAAAATTAAGATCGTGCTTCCCTTCAATACTTTTTGTTGGTGGCCAATATAGTATTCTATTTCTAAATTAATTTTGACAGTCTACTGCAAAATATATAGAACAAATAACTTTTTTATATACGGTTAGTACCTCCCTTTTACTTGTTCTATTCATAAGTGAACTTAGGTATGTATTTGTATATAAATGTGGACCTTGATGAGAGGAATCCGTTGATGGGGAGTGTTGTAGTAGGCAAAATTCGTTTTATAGGTCTCTCACATCTATCCTAATTGACCTTTAGAATTTGACAATTTTGGTATCAGAGGAAAAAAGATTTGGTTCATATGTTGAAATTTGAAAATATTTTTTACTTTTGGGGGGGCTTTTTGGAGGATTTAGAAAGGAATGAAAAAACAAATTAGGAAAAGATTCTGTAATATTAACCCATTTTTGACTTATGTGTACATCTTTTGATATTCAGGTGGAATTATGTCAGCCATGGTGTAGGGGTGTTGTATTCCTTTTGTATTGTTTAATAGAGGTTTTTTGGGGTCTAATTTTATTCCAACTTATGTCTATTGCAGTCTTTTCTGAAGGCGTTATGGGAGTGATAAAAATTCTAATTTTATACACTGTTTACACTTCCTTAAGCCTCACTGCAAAAAATCAGTTAAATATAAAATTCTCATACATTTTAAATTTTAAAAAAATTTTATTTACAAAATAAATTAAGAATTTGTTTTCTACAGCAGTTTTAGGTTCACAGCAACATTGAGCAGAAAATACAGAGCCTTTCTATTAAATGTTTTAATAATAAACATGAATGATTACATAGGAAAAATTGTTAGGAAGCCACTGTGTAAGGTTTTTATTATTATATGTATTTGAAAGTAAAAGTATTTGTGTGGCTATGCATATGAGAGTTGTTTTATTTCTAAAAAGTTTCCTCCATTTCTACTGTTTTTTAAATTTGCCACTGAGAAATACAGATTTCCCTTTTTTCTTTATCTTAGATATCATCCCAGAGTCACTGGAGGCATTACAGTGTAGTGGTTAAGCGTGCAAATTCTGAAGTTAGACAAGATTTGGGTTGGAATCCTGACTGTACTGCTTACTAGCTGTGTGATCTTGGAAAGGTCAGTTTCCCCAACTGTAAAATGGGGATACTAATGGTACTTTCATATAATCGTTCTTAACGTTTAACGAGAACCCTGAACATATTCAGTACAGTGCCTGGCACATACTGAATGTTCAACAAATAAATGGTATCCTAAAATAACAATAGTACAATTTTTTTTCTTTATGTTGTCTACTAATTCTGTTCGTTTAGGGACTCCCTTACTAATAGCTATTTCAGAGAATGTTTGAACTCCAAAGGCCTTTCTACAATGGTTAATTATATTAAAAATTTTAACTTCATAAAGGCTTCCATCAAGTTAAGCAAGTTTAGAGATGAAATTTATGTTTTCAATATATTTAATTTTTAAATGAAAGAAAAATGCCTTAATGACTTGGTTAAATAATGTTAAATCTTTCACAAAAGTATTAAAGAAATATTTTTGGAATATATTGATATTTGATTACTAGTGACTAATCATCTTACTTATTGATAATATGATTTGGAAGTTCAGGTCACATGATAAGAGAGAGGTTCAGATCATAGGATTGAGACCACAGTGGTTTGTTAGACAAGGGTTCCCTGGTCAAGAGTTTAATCTTGTATCCAGCTAGTTTGGTGCTGTTGGTCACAAGAGAGTCAAGTGACAATATGTAGATCTACCAGTGCAAATATACTAATGCTATTAGCATTTTGTATCTATTTTCTCTGTGCAAGGTGAATTATTAATCTCATGTTCATTATTGCACATTTTCATTAGTTTGGTGAAGGCCAGAAAAATTTGCATAATTTTAGCTATAACATTTATTTGAATATTTTCTTCAAGTTTTGAGGGAAAAAATATTTAAAAAATTCTTCCCATTTATTTTTATGTTACAGAAGATTCTGTACCTAAACTGCTAACAAATTTCTCAAGAGAGAAAAAGGTTAAATTAAAGGAGTTTGTCACTGTTACTCCCTGTAATTTTATGGAGCTGCTTCTCATGGTCTTGTTCTTTCTTTCTTCCTTCTCCAGAGGTGAGGGGCAACAGTAAAGGAGTATTGTTCTCTTAGTCCACCTTCAATTATATACATACACACACATGCACACACACATTTAACTATGAGCCTGCAGTAGCAAGAGGTTCTTGGGCTGAATCCAACCCACAGAAAAATATTGCTTGCTCTTAATATTAGTTGCTACCATTTAAAATTTGGAAGACTTCACCTCAAGAAGTCTTAATTTCCAGTATTGCTTGAGAAATCACAGGTTGCTGTTCTTCCTTGAGAGTACATTGCTAGAGCTGAGTGAAGGTTGTCCCTTTGAGGTGGGTTCTGAGTTCTCCATTTCATTGTAATTGCCACCAGGCCTTCTTTGCCTTTGATATTATTTGCCTAGCATCTGGCCTAGATCTTATCCTGTACCTAATATTCAGGCTTCCTAGGCCAGAAATTGAAGGAAGAAGTAAAGAATATAAATAATATTATTTTTCCTCTTAAAAATTGTTTTACTGTATCTACAACAATGAAATCATTTTTAATTAAGTCAAATAATTATTAAACTTAATGTTAAGACGTAGTATTCATTAACTTTGTCACTGATTGCATTATAACTATGGCTGAATCATTATTTCTTTTTTTTTTTTTTTTTTTTTTTTTAATATTTATTTATTTATTTATCTTTAGAGGGGAAGGAGAGAGGGAGAGAAACATCAATGTATGGTTGCCTCTAGTGCGTCCCCTGCTGGGAACTGTCCTGCAGGGAACTCGCTTGCAACCCAGGCAATGTGCCCTGACTGGGAATTGAACCGCGATCCTCTGGTTCGCAGGCCCATGCTCAATCCACTGAGCTACACCAGCCAGGGCTCCTGAATCATTATTTCTTAATAACAGTGGGGGTGTGAATTGCAAAGATTAGTTAGGGACAGAGTGGTTGCTGACCAGGACCCAGATTTTGTACCATAAATGTAGTAGAGCAACATAGTAGGTACTTAATTTAAGGGATTTCAACAATGAGTAAGATGCCTCTTTTCTCAGTGAGTCTCTTCTCAGAGTTGTAGATCTAGTAGGAAGTTAAGTCAACCAATTATTATGATTCAGGCTAGATAAGGATAACTATCATAAGTGAAGTATGAGCAAAGGGTCATGGGGGTTAAAAGAATAAGAAATTTATATAAATAGGATCAGTAAAGCCTGAGGAAAAGTAGCAGGTAAATTTTTCTTGCTGCTTAATTTACGTGTATTTTCTGATCATGAGGTTATTGGTTCCTATGTCCTTTGCCTAATGACTTTATCAGGTAAAAAAAAAAAAGCATAAATTAAATGAGTATAAACTTTTGACTGTAGCGAAGCATCTTTCTTACTGAACTCTTAATTATTTACCTGTGGTCTGGAGGGAGATTGAAGGAGGTGCTTATAGTAACTAAGAATACAGAGCACAGCCAAAGGTGAGAATTGGTTTGGATCACTGACACCTAGATAAACATTATTGACAGATGAAAAAGAAAAAGGACAATAGTACATTAGAAAGAAGAAAGGGAAAATAATAGGGAAGGGTGAGAGAGAGAGAACAGAGAGGTTGGGGGGTAGGAGGGGTGAGGGAGGTGGGGAGAAAAGTGAGGAGAGGGGAGAGAGGGAGAAATATGTCTGGCTACCCACCAGCTGCTCCAGCCAGCCCAGCTGAGACACCAGACTTATGAGTTAAGAAGCCACC